CCCCTCTTTGCTATGTATATAAGCAATCGCCTAACAATAAAATTTGGAGGCTTGATCAGAACACTGTCTTGCCTCCATTCTGCGTGTCTCCTGTCTCTTTCTCTCTCTTGGTCTCTCTCTCTCTCTTTTCACCAGCAGCAGGTAGTCCTCCTCGTGCCCACGTTTTACTTGTCCCGCTGGTCGGGACAACACCCCTTGAAAAAAAGAGTCTTACTATCTTTAACAAGTATCATGAATAAGCTTTTTCTGTTACAAGTATTAAAGCAACCTCTATGGTTGGTGTTTTTATCTTTACAACATATAAGTCTGTAAGATATATGTTTATATCTTTATAAGCTTGCAATAAGAGTCTTGAGAGGTTCAGCAAGATGTATAAGATTACCTAACACGTAGCTGACCAAACTGGAGAGCCTTTCTTTATGAATATGAAAAAAGAGCAATAAGAAAAGTCCTCTTGCCTTCTGATTAACTAGCCAGCAATCTGCCACCCCAATATACTATAGTTTACTAGAAAAATCTAAACTCCTATAAACAGCTCCAATAATTATATTATCAACAGAAACACGGTGCCCTCTGGTGTATACTCTTCAAAGCATTTCTGTATGTTTCTGATTTTTTTTATCAATCTAAAAGTGGGACTCATTTAAAGCTGAGGAAAGTGTAGTCCCCAAAATAGCTTTAAGCACATTGTTTAGGGAGTATAGCTACATGGTTACAAAGATTTAAAAAAAAAGATTAACTCCTCTCCCCAAATATGTAAGACTTTGTCCTTGGTTGTACAATGTCTATGGTAATTACACTGCTGAAATCACAAATTTTCACATTTAAAAATCCTCACCAATTACTGTGGTTACTAAACACAAAATGTGACTCATGACAGGTCAAATTCAACACGTATATTACACTATAATCATAAGTTATATCATTCAAATGCATTTTCTAAAAAAAAGAAGCCATATAAATGTTAGAAGAAAAGTAAGAACTTTGTATGGCATCAAGCTCCCTCTCCCACCTCCCCCCAAAAAGAACAGGTTAACAATGTAACTTTATAAAAAACAATTTCACATCTTAAAAAACAGCAGCACATATAAAATCGGAAGATAGTATTAAGATTATGATCCCATCATAATCTGGGCCTTAGGACTGCAACATACATTCTTAATTTATCAGGATAGTCACTAAATGAAATTTTAATGTGTGACTAATAAGCAAATGCTGGGATGAACTGGAATAGAATTCATCCAAAAGACGGCAAGAATGGATAAAAAAGGAAAAGAAGCCAGGCTCGGTAGCTCAGCTTGTAATCCCAGCGCTTTGGGAGGCTGAGGGAAGTGGATTGCCTGAGGGCGCAGGTTTGAGACCCGCCTGGGCAATCTGGCGAGACCTCATCTCTACAATAAATCAAAAAAAATTAGCTGGGCATGGTAGCGCGCGCCTGTAGTTCCAGCTACTTGGAAGGCTGAGGCGGAAGGATCACTGGAGCCTAGCAGGTCGACGCTGCAGTGGCCAGGAGCAGCCACTGCACTCCAGTGTGGATGACAGAGTGAGACTCCAACTCAAAAAAAAGGAAAAGAAAGAAATGAAACATGGAAAACAATTAAGATGGTAAATGCCAAACATACCAGCAATTACATTAAAGATAAACAGACTAGCTTCTTCTCTCCTCTCTCCCTCCTGAACAAAATATTAGATTTGCTAAGCAAAACAAGTCCTTCAGGGAATGGAGGGGCATGGTGTCAGCAGCAGGATCCTGCATGGGAGAGTCCTGCCTAAGCACAGAAAGTAAAGCTTTAGTGTTAGTGGGGGAATAGGGTTATCAAAGCCAATGTGGAGTGAGGATGGCATCCGCACCAGAGTTAGCAGTGACAGATTTGTTTGATCAGTAAGAGCTATGTTTCTCATTGTAGAAGGGAGTTACAATATTAAAAGGGAGAAAACTATTCTAAATCCTATAGTATTATACAGTTGAAGATATTGGTGGTAGTAATAGATGACAGGTAGAAAGATGAATGCTTAAATAGAGAGAAATATAGACACATAGAATAGTGTAGTGTGTGTGTGTGTGTGTGTGTGTGTGTGTGTGTGTGTGTGTGTGTGTGTAGTTCTGTCCCTAGGAGGACCTGGAACAAAACATGAATGCTTAAATAGAGAGAAATATAGACACATAGAATAGTGTTAGTGTGTGTGTGTGTGTGTGTGTGTGTAGTTCTGTCCCTAGGAGGACCTGGAACAAAACATGAATGCTTAAATAGAGAGAAATATAGACACATAGAATAGTGTTAGTGTGTGTGTGTGTGTGTGTGTGTGTGTGTGTGTGTGTGTGTGTGTGTGTGTGTGTAGTTCTGTCCCTAGGAGGACCTGGAACAAAACACTACACTAGCATACTTAAACGTACAAATCCCAATTCCTAAATACTATTCTCTCCGAAACTAAGAGGGATCATTGGAAAAATGGCTCACTAAAGGACTGGGGCAGGGAAAACAAAGATGAGCCTGGAAAATTTGATTATGACAGGAAGTAAGGAAGCACTCAAAGAATGATGGGGACAGGTCAAAAAGACAATACCATAAAAATAAATAATATAGTAACAGTAATTTAGAGTTGACATTTTTCAAGAGTGCAGGTTAGTTACTTTGTAGAACACAATGATTACAATAAGAATCTGTGAGTCCTGGGCTTGGTGGCTCAGCCTGTAATCCCGTGCCTTTGGGAGGCTGAGGTAAGTGGATTGCCTGAGCCCGTGGGTTCGAGACCTGCCTGGGCAGCGAGACCTCATCTCTACAATAAATCAAAAAATCAGCCGGGCGTGGTAGCGCATGCCTGTAATTCCGGCTACTTGGAAGGCCGAGGCGGAAGGATCGCCGGAGCCCAGCAGGTGGAGGCTGTGGTGGCCAGGAATGGCCACTGCACTCCAATCTGGGCGACAGAGTGAGACTCCAACTCAAAAAAAAAAAAAAGAATCTGTGAGTCTATACTCATATAAATAAAATGGGTAGAAGAGAAAAATTTTCCTTGTAGCACATACTAATTAATACATAAAAGAAGAAATGACTGAATCAGAAAATCACCATTTGGCTATTTTTCTAGTAGCAACTGATTCAGGCAAGAACCACTAATGGATTCTAAAACTGTTTGCCGAAAACTTGATGAAGAATAGGTTATGACCACGTCCAGCTAATTTTCTGATAATCTCAAAGCATGACTATGTCCCATAGAATACTTATTAGTAACTATAACATACTTATTAAGTATTTAATAGGTATAAAATAATTATTAATTAACTTTTCAATGGAGGAACCTGAAAATAACACCTCAAGCAAGTCGTAAAAGATGTGAACATTACAAATCAACAATGAGACAAATCAACTCTGCATGTCTCCTGATATGGTACACTGAGAAGAATCTAGAATCACTTCTGTGGTACTCCTACAAATGTATAACCTCAATCGTATCGAAAGGAAACATCAGCCAATCCAACTTGGACATTCTACAAAGTAACTAATCTGCACTCTTGGAAAACGTCAAGGTCAATAAAAACAAGAAAAGACTATAGATCTTTTTTTTTTTTTTTGAATCAGTGTCTCACTGTGTTGCCCAGGCTGGAGTGCAGCTACCTCAGCCTCAACCTGCTGGGCTCAGGTGAACTCTTGGCCTCAGCCTTCCATGTAGCTGGGACTATAGGTGTGCATGACCACGTCCAGCTAATTTTCTGATTTATTATAGAGATGAGATCTGGTCATGTTGCCCAGGCTGGTCTCACACTCCTGGGCTCAGGCAATCCTCTTGCCTTAGCCTCCCAAAGTGCTGGGATTGCAGGCATGAACCACAGCACCCAGCCTATGGAACTTTGTAAATTGAGGGAGACTAAAAAGGCATGACAGCTAAATGCAGCACAAGTTCTAGACAGGATCCTGGACCTAAATACGACATTACTGGGATAATAGGAAAATCTGAATGGACTTTCTGGATTACATAGTAATCGTACATCAATGTTAATTTCCTAATTTTGATGAATATACCATAGCTATGGTATATACAATCTGTTGTTTTAAGGGGCACTGGGATATCATATTTGCAATTTGCTCTCAATTGGTTTGTTTCTATTAATAATATGGGGAGGGGTCCGTGAAGACAGAATAAAAATGCTACAAAAAGTAAATAGAGAAGCTGGGCTCGGTGGCTCAGTCTGTAATCCTGCGCCTTTGGGAGGCTGAGGTGAGTGGATTGCCTGAGCCCGCGGGCTCAAGACCCGCCTGGGCAGCAAGACCTCATCTCTACAATAAATCAAAAAATCAGCCGGGCGTGGTAGCGCATGCCTGTTATTCTGGCTACTCGGAAGGCTGAGGCGGAAGGATCGCCGGAGTCCAGCAGGTCGAGGCTGTGGTGGCCGGGAGCGGCCACTGCGCTCCAGTCTGGGCGACAGAGTGACACTCCAACTCACAAAAAAAAAAGAAAGTATATAGAGCAATAAGCCAAATGTGGTATAATATAAACAAAAGAGATATCTAGGTAAAGGATATTACATGTACATGGGAGCTTTGTAATATTTTTGGAACTTTTCTGTACATTTAAACTTACTGCAAAAAGAAAAGCTTAAAAAATCAGCAAAATCAATCAACTTTTGAAACACAAATGCTAACTCTATCAATAAAATTTAACTTGGGAAGGGTAAAATAGTATTAGCAGAATTATAGCACTTGGTATTTATGACAGTTTGAGGCAAATTTCACTGGATTCTTCACTTACCGCTACGAATGTAATCAGGGAAAGAAAAAAAAAAGCAAGCTTTAATAGAATATTTTCAAAGTATATATATTTTTGGTGGTATAACAGACATATTTGCCTTTTCCTTGCTAATAAATCCCCACTTATTAGTCCAAAATAGTACTCTTAGGCAGACAGATGTGTTTTTTTAAGGCTTTACATTGAAATACTTGTTTTTCCTGAAGTAAATTTCAAAATAATCATTTGATAAGCCTGAAAGAGTATTTTTCCTTTGCGTCTAAATAATTTTAAAAAGCACCTTTCTTACCTTCAACCCGTGATTCTAAGTGCATATCCAACTCCGAATCTTTTTTCACTGCTTCATCTGAGACCTTGGGGGCATTTGAAAAGCAAACTAGTACAATACTCATGTTATCTCGACTTCCCTGTATATTAAAGAAAGACAAAGAAAAAGTTATATTTCTACAGTTTGCCAACTTTCTATAATTTACTTCAAAACAATTAATTATTCTAAGCAGTTAGTTTATTTATAACCATCCAGAATGTATACATTTAACATATTCATTTTAGTTCTCTAAAGAACTATTTATAACACAACTTGAAGAAACAAGGTATTTAGGGATACACAGATCTGTAATTATTTTTGAATTTTTAATTCTGTGTAACTATTCTTATCCATACCTTCACACATATTAACTTCTAAATCTATTTCCCACTTAAGACTGCATATTCCTAGAGTGACTTAAGTCCTTTCCAAACACATATGGAAATTTTTTCAGCTAATTACCCTTCATCAGAGCAATGCTACAACTGTTGAATTTAACAAAGCTGAAATTGTTTTTCAGCAGGATATCCAAGACTGAAATAAACAACTACAAAGAACTGTTCTGAGTGTACGATACCAGATAGAGCTGTAGTCATGTGATAACTTTTAAAGAAAAGACATCAGTTGTACAGAGTCACAAACAGTTTCAGGGTCTCTACAGAGTAGTCTCTTCAGAGTAGCTAAAACAGCTAATATAAGGACAAATTTACTGCTGCCTTTTAATCACACCCAAACACATTATATTTAAAAATAAGCACAGAATATATACTGAGTACTTTGAGATTATAACACATAATATACAAAAAATTAAAAATATCTCCTTATTACTTTCTCTATAGGTATAGTACTTTAACTGAGCTTCTTAGAACAGATAAAACTGTTCTTAGACTCATGATTTTAAAAATTTTCTCTTGGCTGGGCTCAGTGGTCCAGGCTGTAATCCCAGCACTTTGGAAGGCCAAGACGAGTGGATTGCCTGAGCCCACGGGTTCGAGACCCACCTGGGCAACTTGGCAAAACCTTGTCTCTACAATAAATCAAAAATTAGCCGGGCATAGTAGTGCACACCTGTAGTTCCAGCTACATGGAAGGCTGAGGCGGAAGGATTGCCGGAGTCCAGCAGGTTGAGGCTGCGGTGACCACAAGCGTGCCACTGCACTCCAGTCTGGGTGACTGAGTGAGACTCCAACTCAAAAAAAAAAAAAAATCTCTTTAGTCTTTTTTAAATTTCAGAGACAAGTGATTTTTTAAAAATGTTTGTCTCTGTTCACTCTAAAAAACTAAATCAATGGAAGTGGTAAGCTATTTTGTCTGAGAGTGGGGTTTGCTAAATTTGACAAATTCAAGTGAAAGAAGCCAAGACAATACTCGTTCTAGTCTTTTTAGACTTTACGACCAGATCTAGGCAGGCATTGCTTAGTTCAGACTTGCACCATTCCTGAACCCACATGATAGCCAAAAAAATAGGCTGACTTTGAACTTCTGCCTCCACCTCCTAACTCAACGGGAGTAAAGTTTGAAGTCAGTGAAGGTCAGGTCTTCAGAAGACTTTAAAAAAAGGTAACTTTCCACAGACTCTTGTGTTTTGGAAGGAAGAACTAATCTGAGTTTATAACCAGATTCCTGATATCTGGAAAACTGGGATTTCAAGTTTGACCAACCTAATTTTGTTCCTTAATGAAATCCACCAAAACTTTCATGACTTATTAAAAATATGATATTTAGTTGTATGAATATACATATATGAACATGTCATATAAGTACAGGTCAAGCAAAAACTTTAAATTAAAATAAATGTGAAGTATACCATGGATATCCAAAAAAATCAAGTATCATTATGATACTAACGGTTGTTTTTTAGAGCAATTTTATGAATAAACAGAATAATACCTTAGAAATTCATTTTCTTCTAACGCGTTTCTATTTTGATAATAGAATAAGCAGTTTAACAATTCCTAATCAATATAGGTGAGATTTTCATTAGATTTTTGTAAGTTATAAAATATACATCTTTTTGGAAAATTAGCTAAAAGATAGTTTCAAGAGGTTTATGGCATTCCAAAGATATTTAAAGGGGGGAAAACACTTACATTTACACCTTATGCATGTGTGATTTCAATGAAGTTGCTTCTACTTCTATCTATAGATGACTTTCCCCTGAGCACCAAGTATGAATGTATTTCAAAGTAGCTGTCATACGACAACTGAAAAGGTCATTTCCTTTATACCTCTTCAATTTTCTAGGCATAAATCATCTTTTCATAGTCAATCTAAAGTTTTCATTAAGTTCAGAAATAAAACATTTTTTTAAAAAATCCAGCTTGGACAACTGAAGAAATCTAATCCAACATTTAAAAAACTGATTATTTCAGAACCTTTTCTTTTGGCTTTTTATAACAGCACAGCATTAACATCCTTAAGAATCAGAGTACTAATAGTAATAGGTCAAAGAAGCCAGTGCCCCTGTTATAAATAAGGGTATCTAAATTTAAACAGAAAATAATTTGGTGCTGTTAGTTTTAAAGCTAAAAGTCAAATGGTTACAAAGAAGTATCCAGAATCAAGTCTCAACACAGCAAATAGGTTATGAACAAAATCTCTATTACTGGCCAAAATTTTTAATTAATATCTTATAAGTAAACAATCAATATTCATTTTTAAGTCACTGTAGTTATCTCCTTCACATATAGTCAAAAAAAAAAAGCCAAGCTGAAGAAATAAACCAAATTTTCACTTATAAATGAAAAGATGAAGCCTATGATTGATTATTTTCAAGAATATTCTCTATGCCCACCATTACCTTATTCCTTAAACCAATTTTTTCTTCTTTACAAATTTAACTCTTTTGTTTCATAATCCTCAACAGAACTAAAATTTATCAGGGTCTATAAAACAGATACTGCTCAGGCACTTGCAAAGAACTTAACTCTCAACAACTCCACGAGGAAGCTATTATCACTTTTCTTTTATAAAGATGAAGAAACTGAGGCTTTGCCCAAATTAATACTAAGCAGCACAGCACACCTTAACACTGATTCCAAAGCATATGTTCCTTAACATTAAACCTGTGGTTCTCAAACAGTGCTCCAAGAAGCCCCAAGGTTCTATGCAATGTGTTCAGAGATATTTTATTTTATTTTTTTTAGAGTCTGTCTTGCTCTGTCACACAGGCTGGAGTGTAGTAGCATGATCATAGCTCGTTGTAACCTCAAATCCCTGGGCTCAAGGGATCCTTCCACCTTAGCCTCCCAAGTATTTGGGACTACAGGTATGCATGACCACATCTGACTAATTTTTAAAACTTTGATTTTTATAGAGACTAAGTCTCACCATATCAGCCAGTCTCAAATTTCTCAAGTTCCTGGCATCAAGTAAACCTTCTTCTGCCTTGGCCTCCCAAAGCGCTGGGATTAGGTGTGAGCCACCATGCCCAGTCACAAGATATTTTAAATGAGGAGGAAATAGAGTGATATTCAACATCTGTGGACATACCATAAACTAACTTCACAGTAGTTCATGGTTTTAACATCAGATAACACTATATTCCTGTCAATGACATCCTATTTCTGCAAAGCTGGAGTTTTAAAGGTTGCTGTAATAAAAAGCAAGTTGCCATAAAATTCAATGTCATACAAGAAATGAGGGTGGTAGTGTCCAATGATTTCGAGGTTTGAGAAGTTGTACAACGTCCACTAGGTACACACATCTCATTAATAAGTAACTGTGATTTTAAGAATGAAATTTACAGAAACATTTTTTCAAAATGTGCGTATTATTTTGTTAGGACGTACAGACTCATTTAGGTTTGAATCTAATCACTTAATATTTGGAACTGTTAAGTTGGTTAATACTACACGCTTGCAACTCTTAAGTTTTTAATTTTGGCTAAGTAGTACCATGAAAAATTACTGAGACACTAGGGCAATATGAACCACAAAAGTATGAAAATTTCAAACTACAAATCCTTTACATATACTATACTTCTCTAATTAGTCCTCCTCCACCACCTCAAAATACCCAACCACACCCTGCTCTAATGTAATCTAGATCTACACTTTTGTATTATCTATGATTACATTTTCTGAAAACTGTAATAGAAACAGTCCTGAGTTTAGAAGTAAACAACTATTTGGTGTGGGTGTGTATGTGTGTACTTTTCATGTTGTATAATTAATCAAGAACGATACTGCCTTTGGAAAATAAGTAAGTTTTTTTCCTCCTTTTTATCCAGCTATGAGGGCTTCTGATAGGTGGCATATAAATGGAATTTAGGGAAATCAAGTACTATTACTTTAAAAGAACAACTTGGGGCAACCCACTGTTGGAATTTTTCTGTCCTCTCAATAAATCCTGCTTTCTCTAAATAAATAAGTAAAGAACAACTTAAAGAAATACTGACTTTTATGATTTCTTTTTAAAAAGCAGGTGGCAAAGTAAAACGTATAGCATGATCTATTTCTGTAAAATGGCAAAAAAAAATTCTACTTGTACGCATATATATTTGTATCAATAAACACAGAGAACCACAGGGAAAGATACAGCAAACTATAAACAGTGGTAAGTTACCTAAGGGAGGTAAGACTGTAAAAGGGGAAACAAAGATGAATAATTTTCCTTTAAACACCTTGTATTCATTACAAAAATATTTATTAATTCTGTAATAATCAAAAAAAGAAAAGGAAAATCTTAATGTTTCCCTTGAGGAAAAGAAATTTGCAGATCACCCCCCCCAAAAAAAATCAATGCGTACACACACACACACAATTCTTTATCACATCCTCCTGAGAAATACTGCTAACAAAAATACTAAAGTTGACTCAGAAAACTTGACTCAGAAAACTTGGATTCTAGTCTCGCCATCCATATTCATCCAGTATGCAACTTGTGGTTACCTTTTAAGGTCAAATAATTTCCATTTCCTTACTTGCAAATTAAAAATAAAAGTTTTTATTCTGTTCACTTTAGTGGTTACTATGAGGATTAACAAAATAAGTATGATTTGTAAGTTATGAAAGGCGATGCAAATATATATTCTATGCAACCCCAAATTAGTTGGGCGTAAACACCATGAATAAAATGGGAAGACTCCTTTCTTGGGGAGCATTCTCCCCTAGAGTTAAATATCTAATTTAAATAGGATAATACCTTTCCAGTCATCTAACACTTACAGTTTAAATATTACTTAATAGCAACTCTGAAAAACGCTTACCACTAGCCACAATAACACTAACTAACTTCATTTGGTTGTAAAAATTAAATGAGTTAAGCAATGTGTAAGTGCTTAGAACAGCATTTGGCTCACAGAAAGCAATAATTTACTAATACTATTTTAATTATTTATGATTATGATGATTATTACAACTGCCCAAGATTCCATGAGTTAACATACAAGTGTTTATAAACTATCAAGGAATGACAAATGACAAAAGTGTTAGAAAATATTAAGACTTCATTCTCTTATTGGGGAAACGTCTACTAAATAACTGGATCTTCTCTCTCTTCATAAAGCAGATAATACCTACTGAGCAATAAGCTAAGTGCTCTCCTTGAATTTTTGAATTTAAATTTTTCTGAGTAAATTCAAAGCAACTGTTTTCTATTTTGTAATAATGCCAATCCTTGGTTTTACAATACAAACAAGTGAAATGATGTAACTGTCAGTGGCTCAAAAAATATTATGTTTCAACCCAAATTTCCAAACTGATTTGTTTGAATACAACTCCATTCAAAGGAACAATGGTTAGCTGCCACTAAAATTGAATCATGGGCCTCAACCTCTTGCCTGTTATTATAATTTCTCATTTCTGAGATTTTAAGGCTTCATCTATAATCTTTTAACATCATCAACATAAACATTTACTGATAAAAGCTATCAAGTAAAGATATGCCACCAGTATCACTACATCTCATTAAGAAGGACAGAGTCAAAACTCTTGAAAACTAACATCCTTTCAATAGATGGGAGAGTACAGTTTGTCTACTATACAACTTCTTTCCTTAGTACAAATTACAGACCTAAGAGATTTTGGCTATTCCTTCACAACCAGCCTTATTCTTTCAATAAAATGCTATGCAGTCATGAAAAATGATACAGATCAATACTTATAGACATGAAATCTCTCTACAATATATTGTTGGAAAAGCAGTCTGTAGGATAACAAATATAATGATTTCATTTTTATAAAAATAGACACACTCACAGTCAGGCAAAAAGTCTGGAAAGATATAATCACAATAGTGAAAGTAGTTGACTTCAGTGGATGGCAAATAACTTCGTGTTTCTTTATATTTTCTGTATTTTCTGGATTTTTTTCCCCAATAGCAAATATATAATATTCTTTATAATTGTGGAAAATGCTGTTTTCATTTGCTAATCAGACAAAAAACATATACCTGCCTTTGTCCCAAAAAGCTACAAGTTAGAATCACTTCACTTACAATCCAAAGAGAAAGACATTAATTTAGAGTCAAAAGAGAAAGGCGTTAATACCCACTATTGGATGAATGACAATCATCAATACTTCTGTGTTTAATTCATCCAGAAGTAAAAATGATATATTAAAAATAAAAATCAGCCGGGCTCGGTGGCTCAGCCTGTAATCCCAGCGCTTTGGGAGGCTGAGGTGAGTGAATTGCCTGAGCCCGCGGGTTCGAGACCCGCCTGGGCAACTTGGCAAGACCTCATCTCTACAATAAATCAAAAAATTAGCCGGGCGTGGTAGCGCGCGCCTGTAGTTCCAGCTACTCGGAAGGCTGAGGCGGAAGGATCGCCGGAGCCCAGCAGGTCGAGGCTGCAGTGGCCGGGAGCGGCCACTGTACTCCAGTCTGGGCGACAGAGTGAAACTCCAACCCAGAAACATAAAAATAAAATAAAAATCAGAGGAGTAAAAAGGTACCATCATTAAGATCCTTGTAGAAAAAGCTATCCACTGGTTAAGACCAACCTTTAAATTTTGTTTTGAAACTGTTTCTTTCCATGCTACGGAAAATAAATAAGCATTTCACCAAAATCTGGGCATTTCTATAGACCCAGTGATCCTTCTTGAAAAATTTTCTGGCAATGCCTGTACCTTCCACAGCAACTTACGCAATGGGGAGATAGAAAGGTTCTCATCTAGATAGCATAAATATGTTAAACTCCTTATTTCTGTTAACTAAAGGTCAGTTTTGCCTTGGTATCTTTTCAGTCAGACTCATATCATACTTGCACATTCCAGACACTGGTCAGAATATTTACATTTGAATTGTTTTCTATACAGATGCTATCAAAAACCCACTTGAAAAACTTGAATATTTCACAGCCAAGGCACTTGCCAGTCATCTGTTTCTCTGAATTTTTATTCTATTACTATATCAAGTAAAGAGTCATTAAAATTACAAATCTAAATAAACTTCAGTACTCCAAAGGAATTCTTCACAAGATTACATTTTATGTAAGTCTTTGGTTTTTAGTCAGTAATGAATTTAAAAAAAAAAACCTATATGAAAAGAATTAGTCAAACATGGTGGCTCACTCCTGTAATCCCAGAACTTTGAGAGGCCAACAGGAGAACAGCTTGAGGTCAGGAGTTCAAGATAGCCTAGGCAACATAGTGAGACTTTATCCCTACAAAAAAATTAAAAACTTAGCCAGGTGTGGTGGTACTCGCTTTCCGGAGGCTGAGGCAGAAGGATTGCCTGAGCCCAGGAGACTGAGGTTGTCGTGAGCTATAATCACATCACTGCACTCCAGTGTGGGCAACAGAGTGAGACCCCAACTCAAAAAAACAATTACATCTTCTACAAAAGATAGTATCCATCAAGTCTATGTATTATTTACATAGAATCATATATAAATCTGTGTTTTAGATTTTATTGCTGGAAAAAAGCTTCTTTAAGTAGACACTGAGATACACCCAACTCATATTTATATTTCAGTTTTTGTCTTTGCTGTTAGGAAGTCCAGGACTCAGTTTTACTTATGCTAGGCTTCTGGTACATCCTCTAGTATTTCGTGTGGCTCTTATCTTTTAGTATATGTAGTGCAGAATTCTACCATACACATATTTATTCAAGCTGCTGCATATTCAGGAATAAGATTGCTATTGCCAATGTCAAGATTGTTAACCAAAAGTCACAATTCTGTATAGATGCCATGCCTCTGCCACAGCAACAAGCCATAAAGTACTTAAATAACAATAAATGCCCAAAATGTATTAAAGTTAATTTTCAAACTAGAAAATTAGGGCAGAAGGTGATGGCAAAGAAAACATTTCTGGTAAAGGAAATACTTTAAAATATATAGATCCTATGAAAATATTAAACGTTTTAAAAGTTTAAGTTTGCTTAATTTCACTTACCATGAACTTTCAAAACTAATATGGTATTTTAATGATGACAAAAAAACTTACATACCTTATGTAAACAAGTGTCCACTACCCAATTGCACACATTTTCCAGGTCATCAGATACCTCAAGCCTAGATTTAACAAATTCACAGAGCTCCTCATTACTCATAACATCCCAGATCCCATCACAAGCCAAGATGATAAATTCATCCTCTTCTGCTCTTAAAATTTCATAAACCTCAGGCTCTGGAGAAACAAGTTGTTCTGTTGGGCCCTTGCCATCAACACACTTGTAATCATAGTCCCCCAGAGCACGAGACACTGCTAATGAACCATTAACGCGTTGTATCATTACGCTGCCTCCTGCGTTTTGGATTCGCTCCTTTTCCCTGGGATTGCAAGGTTTGTGATCCTGGGTAGAAAAGCAGACTTGTCCATTCCTGTACAGAACAGCACGTGAATCACCACAGTTGATAAAGTAGATATGCTTAGGTGAAATCATAACTCCCACTGCAGTTGAACCGCTCCTGTCCATCCCATTTCTGAGGTCTGAAAAGTTACGCATATATTCATCAATTTTCAAAAAGCCAGTTCTGATACCGTTCTTGACATTTTCCACTGAGAGCTCAAGAGCAGATCCTGATTTTCCAGCTGCCCTGAAGTCTTCATTAGTAGTGATGTGTTCTAATAAGTGTGTTGAACAGTAATTTGCCACTCGGGATCCAGCATGACCATCATAAACTGCAAAAAACGACCAGTCTTCCAAGCCGTGAGGTATACCTACAACAGCTGTGTGAGCATCTTCCATTTCCACTCTCCACCCTTGCATGCTGCTGAGGCCATAACGTAAACCATTCCCAGCACCATGAGCATTATGTTTCTCAGTTTTGGGTTTATCCAAAAATGCACCCATGTTTAGCAGTGAATCTGGAAAAAAAAATTGTAGGTGTTAAATGTTTACATCTGATAGAAAATTCATCTACAATATTCTACCTATTGTCTAATGACATCTCAAGTATATTTTTCAGTATTATCCTAATTTACTGGAACAATGACAAAACAAGAAATTTCCTCCCCTACATCCTTCTGCAACAGTGGTTTCTCAGCCCTAGCACATAAGAATCATTCGATCATTTAAATCTAGGGGTGGGAGCCAAGTGTTAGTATTTTTTAAAAGGCACTCTGATGATTCGTATGTGCAGCCAAGTTGAGACTACTGTTCTAGGCAAAACGAAAACCAACAATTAAAACTTAACTAAGAATCTTTCTAAATTCAATTTACAAGATAAGTCTAGGGGTTCAGAATATAAGTTCATATGAAACTGGACAATGGGAATATTCAGAATGGTAAGTCCACTTGTTCAATAAATCAAGGATTAAAAGTATGCTGCTGTATTTTTGAAAAACTTTCAAAAACAAGTATTGAAATCAAGAGTTTTTCTCCCTAGTGATCTGAAGAACACCCCAAAATTCAATTAAAACATAAAAAATCTCCATTTGACAAGCATTTGAGTTTATCAAGGTTTTACAGTATATCAAGTTGAAAACTATATACTTAAAAATTGCATGGATTCAGTTAAAAACAAACATAACCGTTATACGGTGGCAAAAAATATATTTCATATTGCCAAGTATTATAATTCATGAAGTAGCCAGCTAGTAATTGACAAAGACTTAAAATCCTTAGAACTGTAAAATACTACTATACATCACCCCTTCCTCCCAACCCAAATTTACTATTATTATAGAATAAAGCTGTCTCAGCATGGTGACACCTGACTGTAGTTCCAGTTTTTAGGGTGGCTGAGGTGAGAGGCTCGAGTGAACCCAGGAGGTCGAACTTGCAGTGAGCTATTGATCACACCACTAAACTCCAATCTGAACAACAGACCACAATGCTCCCATCCAGTTTCTTGGGGAGAAGCAGGGGGAAAGAGCTTTCCCAATTTCAAATGACTTAGACTATAGCAGTTGTTCCCAAAAGTGAGCCTAAGAATTCCCTGGTCTGTTTTCTATATACAATGCTGGCCCCATACTCTGGGTGACCTTTGGCAAATTTCTTAGTCACCTGTACCTATACTTCACATGGTTGTTGTGAGGAATTAGTTAACTTAAACTGCTTAGAACAGCACTTAAAACTTAGTAAACACCATAGAATATCTGCTGTTATTATCTACTCAAAATGCAGATTCCATAATCTTAAGACACATCCAAAGATTTCTAAGATAGATCTTGGATGGGATTATCAAAAAGGCATGCTGGTGACTTATGAATCACATTTTGAGAGACACTGATCTAGAAGAGTGGACTTCCATGTTGGGTCTAGTTATCTCTGTGAGATATCTTTTTCAGCTGTGACCATTATCAAACCTTCCAATAAAATGACACATTCCCCACTTATAATCTGATGAATCACCCTATGTGCATATAATTATAAATTATATATCAATTTTATATTTATAATTTTTCCAGAATCATGTATGATACTTCATTAATAAATTACATATATTTTTACGAAAAAAGGAAACTTTGAGACGGCTATGAGCTGTGATCATCCCACCGCACTCCAGCTTGGGTGACAGAGTAGGACTCTGACCCCCCCAAAAAATAAAGGACACTTGAAAGGATATGATTTAAAAGATATAAACATTATTTTTTATTCAATCAGTATATTTTGTACTGAGAGCAACGTAACAGATTATGCTTCATTATTTTTTAACATACAGGATTGAGATACTGTGATAAATGATTTGAAAGACTAGTTCTAAGTACCTTATTGTTTAGATTCTTGTTTTTAATGGCTATTACATCTGGGGGGGGGGGAAGCTTTAAAAGAGACCCGAATGCAAATGAAACTGAACTTTTGATTTTATTTCTTAAACCACTTTTCAATTACAACTGTCAGTTATGTTAAAATGTTCTGTTATAGTTTTCATCTTTCCTGATGCTCTTGCAATTAAGGTGTTGCTGTTTTACATTTGAGTAAGCAAGTTCAAAATCCCCAAGAATGCCTCATTTAGAAGTTTTCAAAAAACAGTTTAGAAATTTCAATTTCCAAATCTGTTTTTAATTTAGGAACTAAAAAAGGAAGGAAGGAGAGATCTTCAACAGAAGGATGCGAGGGATTCTAAGACTCAAAGGGAGCCTTGAAGTCCAGCTTGGCTTTAAACCCATTAAGAAACAAAAGAGGAGTGCACAAGGAGGACTGGGCAGAAAACTCTGAGGAAAGAGCCCTGTGTCTCTCTCTCACCTGATAGTTGGGACCAAGACCGCATACTGCTGAATAGACAGACTGTAAAGCAGAGGGAAAAGTGAACGAAGCCAGAAGACCCTCGTAAGGAAGAACAGGTCATTGCAGAAGAGAAATAAAAGCAACCC